ATCTTCTTTTCGGTCTATTTCCATTCCATTTTGTATGATATGCATTCACTAGAACATGTATTATCATTTTGAATAAACAAACGTTTTATTATTAAGTACCTAACATTTTGCAGCTAAAAAAAGGTACCTAATAATGTGTATCTATCACGATTTTCTGGAATTTCTATACTTCAACTAGATAAAAATATAACGAGATCTTTTAAAAATAAAAAATAAAAAATATATTATACCTAACATAGTTCAAAGTTTTGCAAACTTAGTCAAAACTGGTAAAACCAGTTCAGACAATACGAAAAACATCGAAAGAAGGTCTCGTCATCCCTATTTCGTTATTACGAAAAATCCCATCATAATTAAAGCTCGAGGCAATCCAGAGGAAAGCCTCGACCTGGGGGGTAGTTGTTATAGGGGAAAATCTACCTTGCCACATCAAAGAACGTATTGTCCCCAGGTGGCTACTGCCATGCCACATCAGATAGGAAACAGGCTCTACGTGGCCACTGCCATGCCACGTCAGACGGCAAACAGACACTGACGGTCGAAGGATCAGCTTTCTAGCTGATAGAGGTTTAAATGTTTCAAAGATGAGCACTTGTGGTAATAAGAGAGAGAGTCCGGCCACTCTTGGCTCTTCCAAAATAATCCTTGAAGAAAAGAGGAACAACAAGCTTGTAATGTACAACATCAACGATGGCAGTCGACCGATCAGGCGATAAAACAGAGATGGTTCTAAGGGTTGATAGGGACGAAGGCTCTCTCTGCTATCTAGGCTGAGTTAAAAGCAGAGAGGGTAGCGCATTCAGGCATCTGACCCAGATTCTGAGAATACCCATTGAGGCGACAGGAGAGAAATTCCTAGTTTACTTGCGGGAATACACAAAATCAGTGGCTAGAAAAATGATTACCAACCTGTTAGATGCCCAAAATAGACAAATAGGAAATCACAGGGAAATTACAGGGTCATAATTTTGGCAAAGTAGGTAGATGAACGGAAAGAAAAGTATTGTATAGCTGCAGTCTAACTAAGTAGGATAATAGGCTACTCAAGAACAACCGCAGGGTAACCATTTGCCTCAGTTTTCTCTAAATGTAATATGTGACATATAAAAGGGGCAAGGCCCAAGAGAGACGACAATGAATATTAGAGAGAATTGAGCCTCTTGTAATTGAAAAAGAGAGAAAGAAGGAAAAAGAGAGAAATTTATCAAAGTGGATGTAGCTCTTGCTTTGAGAATGAACTACTATAATCCCTGGTGTTATTTTCTAAGAATCCATAAAACTCATACACGAACAATTGCACTTTCATAACTGAAATTAATCAATATACAACAACTATTAACACGTGATTTAGCCGGTAATCTAACCGGATATTAAGCAGTAATCTTGTACAATTTTGTTGACAAAATTTCACTGTCAATACTTACTCTTTTGTGCTTATCGTGAAATGATATGGTGTGATTTAATTAATTTAGACACCGAATAAAATATTAAAAATTGGACAGCAGATTTGAATCCTTCCGTGAGTAGTACTGTACATTGAGAGAGAAAGAGAGAAAAAACTTTAATGTCAATTGATTTCTGAAAAAATATGTGGAGCATACACTGGGGAAGCATGAAACTGAAGTCAGTTTATAATATATTGTTATTTATTATTATTATTATTATTATTATTATTACGATCGTAAAGAAGCCATCTGATAATCACGTGAAGTGGTGGCACACAGCACAAATACTATAGGGAGCATTTGGTATGCAGTAATCTTAAGGATGGGAATCGAAATCTGCAATATTTAGTACAAGAATTATAACTTTTAGATTCCCAGAAAAGTGATTACCATGGGATTCACTTTCCCTCATTTTAAGGTAATTTGAATACCACCCAACATGGTGTTATTCAAATTCCCAAGAATCTCAAAATCATGAGAATCTTATTATTATTATTATTATTATTATTATTATTATTATTATTATTATTATTATTATTATTATTATT